GAGACGGGGAAGGTGTACCCAGGAAATCTCAACTCTGTGATCACCTAAAAGACCTGCACAGCCAGATGAGGTGCCAGTGTGGACGGGGAGAATCTCACAAGGCCCCACCCCTAGATGAAGTGCTACAAGCAGTCAATGGCTGCTGAGAAAGAGAGAGGCAGTCTCCTCCCTGGAGGAGCCCCTGAGAGGCTACTCACCTTCTCGAAGTCCACACTAATCACATGCACAAACACGAGCAGTACCGAAGGCATTCAGCAAGCACTCAGCAGGAAACAATGAAGATGCAAGATGCTAGGGTAATGTGAGGGACACAGAGCGGGCAGTATTTCCTGAGGAGGACTTATCAGGTCATAATTGGCCTAAAGGACAATAGTTAATCATAGATGTCATATATGGTACATGGTCAGCTTAGAAATTTTTAACATTTTTGTACTTAATCTCTGTATTTTCATTTTAACTATTGAAGGTAGTATATGAAAGCAGGAGTAGTTTATTATCAATGGGACTGACTCAGGCTAAAATAGAGGGGTTTTCTGGAACCACAAATTTCACCCATATGCCACAAAATTATATATACACTGGTTTTAAGAACCTGGTTTTAAAAGTCATTTAAAAGATGACAACAGTAAATAATATATCAAGAAGCCCAGAATACGAAAACAAATTTTCAAGATTTAAAAACTTTAGGAATTCATTTCAAAGTCTGAAGTCACTGAATCTCACATGTCCTACATCTCACTTGAAGAAAACCTACAAGAGGCTTATGCCCCAAACATGGCAGACCACAAAAGCAGGAGGTAGGAAGCCCTGATGCGGAGGAGTTGCTCAGTTTAAGGATGCAGTGGCTGAACAGTGCTGGGTACGATGTGGCTCATGAACACAAGGCATCTCCAGGCCCTTAGGATGGTTGGAGTCGCTGAGGACCGTGCCATTCAAAAAGGGCCAGGCCTGCTTGTTTGAGCATGCGCATTCGGAAGCAGGGGTAATGGGTGTGGACGTAAATCTATAAGTATAGACAGGAACTGGAGGTGGGCTTCAGTCATCAGTCGGCCCCTACAGTGACGACGCTCTCTCGGTGCCTTCGAAATGCACTTGCACTTCCAATGAACTTGAGGCATCTGGTCCTGTTTTGCTGTAAACTTTAAAAAGTACAGGACTGGTGTTCTGTCAGAATGGGCATCAGTTGTTTCAGGGAATGGCAAGCACATCTGTATAATTTACAAGTGCTTTCTCCACAAACGGGGGCGGGCATCACCGGAAACTCACTTTGTACCTAAGCTGCTGTGTCACCGCTCACTGATGAGAAGATCTTTGCCAGCTCCAGCTTCTACCCCAGGCCCTGCTCCCTGGCTAATCCCCCAAAGCACACACTTACACAACTGCTCTCATATCAAGATGGCCATGCGGCCACCTCACTGGGCGATGGTCTAGATCACACGACTGCAGACTTTCCTTCCCAGGCTAGTACTTTAACCCAATCCCATTGCTGTTTAAACCGCTGTGCGTGATTACGACTTTTTGCAACGTAAAAGTAAAACTAACGAATTGTCTTCCAGCTAAGCACAGGAGGGTGTTCTGCCTCTAAGACAAAAAAAAAAAAAAAAAAAAAAAAAAAAAAAAAGCCTCCTTATTTTGAGGTACTGCAGGTATGGAGTCTTGGAAAACAGAACTAAATTAAATTTATTAAATTTTTGCTCACATCCGCAGGGATAAGAAACCCTACAGAACCCTGAACAGCTGTAAGCAGAAGTCCATGTATTTCAGGCATGTTCTGGGATTCGCCCTTTGCATATGTAAGTTGCTGTCTGCTCACTGGTGAATGAGGAGCCGTTTGAAGGTTAACATAACCTCGAACACAGTCAAGAAGGTCTTCGGAGATTTAATTGGTTTGTGGAGCAACTCCAAACTACTGCTGGGCTTTCTTTTTTTCTTCGCCTTTCTGCTTCTCTAACTCTCTTTTCATAGAGGGAAAAAGGAGGACGCGTGGTAATGCATCATTCATAAATTACCTTGTTATTGAGGAGGAAAACACACACACATACACACACAAAACACCGCTTTGAAAACCAAACAAACTCCTGCTGCGGACTCGGGCCTGTTTGATGGAGACCCTTCAAAAGAGTCCGGGCGTAATGGAGGTTGTTTGTGCAGAGACTTGGATCTGTACCTGCTGTCCCCTGTCACTCCCTGGAAACTTGGCGGCAGATGTTGCAGCGGTAAGTTGTCTCTGAAGTGGCTCTCTGTCCTGTCTCCCCACCGCCGTGGAGTCAAACTGCATTAGATCTCGTATTTGTGCCTCCGGCAAGTTTGGGAGCGCAGCTGTGTCCACCCCGCTCCTACCTTTGGAGTTTCAGGCCTCCAGGCAGCGCGCGCGAGACCAAAAACGGTCCTGCCGCTCTCAACTACCTCCTCTGACAATCGAGCCGCGGCGGTCGCCGGCAGATGTCAGGACAACCTGCTAGCGCGCACCTGGCCGCGGAACCCGCGACTCCCAGGACCCGCCGCCCGCATCAAAGCCCGCGCCCGGCCGCCCGCAGCCCTGCGCGGGGAGCCCGCCCGCCCCGGCGGCCGCTTTGATACTGCGCGCGCCAACTCCAGCCTGCGCATCAAGGACTTCAGGGCGGCGCAGAGCTCGGCCCGGGAGCTCCGCGGCCTCTGCGCCCCTGCACAGCTTCGGCTCCAAATGCACGGTGAAGGACCCGCTGCCCCACCTGAGGGACTCGCTGCAGTGCTGTGGTCGCGGGTTTGTTTATTAGACTGAGCTCTCCCGAGGCAGGCTCTGCAGCAAACGGTTCCTACATAAATGACAAGGCTGTTTTCCAAAGCACAAAACAGGCTGCTGGGGAGGCAGGGGTTGTGTTCCTGGGAGCCATTAGTCAGTATTATCTGTCAGGCAGCTTAAAGTCGGCCTCCCCCTCCAGCGGAGGATGTGACTCCTCGGTATCCAGATGAAAAGGTATTATTTATGCCCTGACAACGTAAATGAACAGCCCCATCTAAATCCTGGACTTTCCAAGCCCTCCCAATGCCCCAAATAAGCAAACTGCTTTACAATTCCACACACTTTTGTACCAAATACTCCGTAAAAAAAAGTACAAAGCAATGTAAATATTGTGTTTGTGTATATGTGTGCATATCAAAAAGGTTGATGACTGCAGGAGACACAGGAGAATAGAGTTACTAATGAAACCAATTTACATGTTGATACGTATCAATCTTTTTTCTTTAAAGAAATTGACCTTAATATCAGATAACATTTGTTCCAGTGAGTTCACTACTATCATAGCCAAACTGTTTCAAAAGGATTTTAACGTGTATTTATGCTGAAAACACCCCATCTATAGAGTTTCCAACTTTTAACAGAATAGTTTACTGGAAAGTAAATTTTGACAGCAAACTGATAATCAGATGAAATGAAGATGTTTATATGAAGTCTGTATATTTGTCAGAGTTTAATGTTTAACTCCGTTTAATCGAGTATTGGTGGATTTCAGGGGTTTAAATTTTGCAAATATAAAAACTTTTTCCTAGTAGTTAGAAGAACATATAAAATTTTATATGCTTTTATTTAGGAAGAGAACAGATGCCCCATCCCCACCCCATAGAGCATTATTTACTCAATACCCAGCACTTAATAAGATGGAAATTATTAAACATACAAGCTGAACTCTAACCTGGGGAAGAGCTCACTGAGACCAGGTATGGAAGGAACATAAACAAAAGGAAGTGAGACTCCAGCATGTTCAGGAGAGAGAGAGTTACACGTGGCTCCAGAAACAGAACTCCGGCCCACAGCTGAATTTAAACTGAGGCACGAATTTCCATAAAAAGGACGTTTCTACTGATAATCTGCCAATGGCCTGGTGATAAGGAGAGCTGCTATCTACATGGCCCTAGCAGAGGAACCTGGCATCATGTTAGAATATTCAATAATATTTCTCAAATTGTATACCTTAAATGGCTGAACTCGGGTGCTTTTTTGAAATGTTTTTAAGTTGATTGAAATAAAAAAATAAATAATAAAAATAATAAATTTAAAATTCTTTTAAACCCGCAAACACCAAGTTAAAACCACCCCATACTAAATGGATCTTCTCTTGGCTTCACAGCATAAACACTGATTTGACTGGTTATTCCCTGGTTTTCAGGAGCAGCATGTGACACCTAAATGAAACCAAAGTCCTCCTGAGATGTGCCTGGCATGCACTCCTCTGTGTGTGTGGGGGGGGGGGGGGGGGGGGGAGGGGGGAAGGGCTGCCCTCACACAGAGCAAGTAGCCTAGCATGGTCAATAGCTCAGGGTCTCTCAACCAAACCCACTGCTGCAAATGAAGAGGCTTTGGACAATTTTTCTAAAATTGCAGCACTAGGATATGATGTAAATTACTAGAAAAATACTTAAGAGCAGAATAATTCTAAGCAGATTTCTAAAATGAGAGCTTCAAATGGACTCCCTTAGTGAGAAAAAGTTACACGAACAGCATACTTGTAAGGGTGTCCATCTGAGTACCTCTGATGCAGATTTCTATGCTGCCTCAAGCCGTAAGGACACCTTGACATATTTCAGAAACGAGGCTGTGACAACTATTGAAGGCAGGTAACATGTTTATATCTAAAGAAAGCACTTCTGAGGTGTTTTCCCCAGATCTCATTGCTACTAAACGCTAGAAGAAAGACGTCAGATGCTAATTCCCAGTCTGCCTCTTCCAAAGAAAATAACTCAGAACAAACGTCTTCAAAGTCAAATGCTGAAGCAACGAGCATGCCTGTGACTTTAATTAATTATCTGGAAAAGTAATGGTATGGAATTGGCTTGAAAATGCATTCTAAAACCACAAAATTTAACGAGCGCCCTGTATATCAAGAACATTCACTGGTCAGAATCAATTCTATCCTGCAAGCTAACAGAAAGTTTTAAAATTATTTTCATCAATATTGCCCTACTTTCATTAAACTCTCCCCCTGCACACCCGCCTCTACCTTTCTTAAAAGATCACAAACCTCATCTCCTTCCTGGGGTCTCATCAAGGATACCCGATCATATTGCTTCAAGATCAGAGCCCAGAGTGCATCCAGACGACCCTAAAGAGATATTGGACTTGTGAACTTGGATAGTTTCATTTCAATTAATCAATTAAATGAGTTTAATAAATATAAAAACGTGAAAGTCTTATGCTAAGGAAGAATTGTTTGTTTGTTTTTTTTTTTTTTCTTAGCAACTTTATGCAGTTGCTAGAGCATAAAAATGAATATTTGCTATATGATTGGTCTTAGTCTTCCCCAGGGGACAGGAGAGACTGAAAAAGCTATATCCCCATTAGGTTCAAGCTGTATCACACAAAATACAGGCACATACCTTAATTGGCGTGTACCATTTTGTCTGAGGTGCCTGATGTGTGGGTTTGGGTCTAGGCGGTCTTGGTGGGACGGGTATCTCTTCTTCAGGGATCATCACCACAGCATTTTTTGCCTTCTCTAGTCTTGCCCCTTCCTCCGTAGATCCTTTATCTCCCCAGCGAACCTTTAAAATGAAGGAGACATTGCTGTCAGGCAAAGTCTCCTAGAGAAGCAACCTCCTAAGTGGCCTACAGTCCTTTGATTCACCAGTCCATTGTAAGAAGACAAACTGGTATACTAATTCCACGTCCTTTTCTTCTGAGTTTTAATGGGTTCTTATCACTCATTATTATTTTCCTGTACATATGTAAGTGTGGATATATACGTGCATATTCAAGTGTGTTCAAGTTCCTATGTGTGTGGAGGCCAAAGGTCAACCTCAGGTGTTGAACTCAGGTGACCTTCGTCATGTGTTTTGAAGCAAGGTCTCATTGCGGCCCAGAGCTAGCCCATTAGATTAGGTTGGTTAAACAAGACAGTCAAGGAATCCTCCTGCCTCTGTTTCCTCATCATTCTTTATTATATTAATATCATGGCCCTAATGCAAAGTAAGTCTTTGTAAAGATATGATATCAGTTAAATCTGGTGTAGTGTTTTCTCCATCATTTCAAATAAGGAGAAGATTCGTGGTTCACATAGAAAATGCAAGACTATGTAGTTCATACATAGTCTACCATAAGGCATGCAAGATTCATGCCTTATTATGGTAGATTCATGGCAGCATCTATTCAGTGTGTTCGCGTTTATTCAATTTATACAAAAATGCAAAGAAATAGACATTATCCTTTTCCCTTCCAGATGCAGGAATTGTGGCACAGGTTAAGATATGTGCTCAAAGCCACCAAAGGTGTGTACTAGCAGAGCAGGCTTTTGAAGGTAAACAATAAGAAGTGAGTGAAAGGTTTTACATGATTTAGACTTGTATAAATTTATAAAATTTACATTAAAAGAATTAATCTTTTTAAATTTTTGCCATAATATTTGAATGACTCAAAAAGCATGAATTTCCAGTTATAACATTTTATTTGCCAGAGGAGCTTTCTGTCTTTAGTTGTTCTACTCATCTGAATATACTCATTTAATAAGTAAGTTCTTAATTGAGAGACATTAATTAGAAAATATTCTGTTTTGTGGGGAGCAGACCATTAGGGAATCTCAGAAATTTTAGGTAATTTCATTCTCTGGAAACTCTTGATAGTGAGCAAAACCATCGGGATTTGGGTTATTATCTGCCTGACATTTCAGTAAACAGAAATTAAGAGCCAAATCGGAACACTACCATGTATGAATGGGAAGCAGTCTCTGGGGACTTTATTTAAGGAGCAGTGGAAGAATCCTAAGACATTACCAAGAAGGACAGAGATAAACAAGTAGAGTGTGTGAAGAGAAACAAAGACGAATCCAAGCTATGCTGCAACAAACCTTTAGGCCATTTCAGTGAAGGAGAAAGTTCAAAGCTACTAGCCTGAGGTGTTGAGTAGAAAGATAGATGGCTACATTTTATAGGAAGAACCATGCACAGCTTTTTGATAAAGCCACTTAGATATTTTTACCACCCCCTTTCCACTACAATTTTAGAGTAGTTTTCAATTTCAAGTAGACCCTAATGAGTCATTAAAGTATATCTGAATCTTTCCATGAGATCAATGGCTAGAATGTTCATCATTTATGGGGTTGTTAAATGTGTTTGAAACATATTAAACCTTTAGAGCTAAAGAGTTGGGCTTTCTTTCTAAAAAAAAAAAAAAAATACCATCTTTTTTTTTTTTTGTCAAATCATAGTCTTCTCTTGATAAGCTAACACTTAGAGTAAAATCTTTAGACATAACTAATTGATTTTAATACTCTAAAGGCAGGGCACATTTCTTGCAGCTGTAACATCACAATTTCAGGGAATAAGACAAAACAAAAGAGACAGATTGCTTAGTGAACACATGGATGCCAGACTCAGAGAAAAAAACAAAAAAGCAACTCAGGGAAGAGCAGTTAAGTAGATAACATTTAGACTTTTTAGAAAGACTATATTATAACACAAACAGCTCCTTAGCCTAGCCTTCACAGTTTAAACCATTGAGATCCTGATAATTAGACTCAAATATCACTGGGACCATTCTCAGATGGAAAAAATGCAAAAGCTTGTTACACTGGAGTTCTGAGCCAATCTGGCATTCCCAGTCTCTGATGACTATACCCATAACCCCTCAGTCATGGAGGTCTAAGGAGATTTAATAAGTTTAATAAATTTGCTCTTTGTTTCATGAAAGAGCTTCTGACTTATCATCAAATACAGCTTTCCTTTATCTCAAAGTCTAAAACTAGAAGAACTTTGCAGAAGTTTCCTCCAACTCTACAGAGAAAATACAAACACATATGTATGTGTGTGCGAATGTGCAAACACACACATGGGTGTATAAATAAGAATGTTTCAAGTTAATCACATTGAGATGCCCTAAAAGAAGGAAGAAGAACAAAAGTAGACCGCTAAAGAAAGTCTTAGCAGAGTTAATATCCTAGCTTTAGTTTACTTTAGGGGGAAAAATGTGTAAGCACAAGCTTCAGGGCTGAATTCTTCCTGTTTCATTTGGCTTTCATTATCATCAGCGAGTTTCATAATTTCTAGAGCATGTTTGCATAGCTAAGAGTCGATGTAATAAAGGAGCAGTTCCAGAATTTTAAAAAGTCAGTTTCATGAGAAACTAGCAGAAACACCCATGTGACGTTATTAGGAATTGTAGTAAGTAGATCTGTTTTGCTAACAGATGATATTAAAAGCTCTGAAAACTCCACCACAAAAAATCTTAAATGAACATTTAATTCCAAAGAGTGAGATCTATAAAATCTACAAAAAGAGAGTATCAATTATGACTTACTATAACGTGAGCTCCAAAGTTCTGTTCTGCAATTGATTTGACCTCGGGCCTTTTATAACTCATTTACTCTCTCCAGCGTGAGCACTTTGCAGGCTTGAATCAGAATTCTTACAAAAACATGACAAAGTTGATTTTCTCACTCCAATTTTATGTTCACATTAGAGAAATTTTAATGATACTTAATGCTCAACTCAGTTTATTGTGTACCTTTATATACTGAATTACTTCTTTGTAAACATCTGTGTTTTCTTTGTCATTTTTAAATTTATTATCGTCCACTTTCCTATCAATAGAATATCCCAGTCACTTTTAAATTTGTTATCATCCACTTTACCATTCCATACATGGAATACTCCAAATGTGGCCAAATTTTTCAAGATTAAAGGACACAGACTGAATGAAATTTGGTCCATTCTTTTTCAAAAACTTTCCTCAGCTGGAAAAGAAAGGCAGGTGATGCATTTTCACTTGCTGAAATTTGAGGACTCTTGAAATTGGAATTACAGGCTACTTGGAAATGTGCTTCCTTGAGCATAGAGAAATTGCTACAGTTTGGATACGGAATACCCCAAAGGCCCATGTAGTAATGTCTTGATTATCAGCATGGATCTTTTTGGTGGTGACAGCACCTGTAAGAGGTGGAACCCAGGAGGAGGTTTAAGACTTAGGCCTCTGTTATCTGCCCATGTAAGGGTGAAGCCAAGATGTTCTTTCTCTTGTTTTGCTTCCTACCTCCCCATAGTAAGCAACGTGCCCTACCAAATACGCCCTACCAATGATGCTTTGCATGGACACAATCCCAGAATCAAGAACACTTACAAACTGTAGGTTAAAATCCTGAGCCAAGATGAAAATTCCTTATTTGTTAGTTGATTTATGTAAAATACTTGACTAATACATTAAAATCATGTTCCTTTTTACCCAGGGTCTATTCAGGGGTTCATGTTACTCTTTTTTTTTTTTAGAAAGAATCTCAATCTTTGGATTACTGGACTAAAAAAAAAAATAGTTCAGCATAATAAATGGTATGAAGTATTAACTAGAATGGTTGGTAATTAGCAAGTAACAGTTGTTGAAAATTTTAAATATGCCTGTTCTATATTTGTGATATAGTCATATCCATGCTGAATATTAGCAAACAAAATAAAAATAAAATAAAACTCTCTCAAATAGTAATTGTCGAGTCTTTTCAAAGAAGAGCATTGTTACAAACATGAATGCCTGACATTTTAAAAGTTGATGTTCCATGAGATAATTTTTCCCAAGGCAGTGAGGAAACCCGTAGCTATTTTCATCCTTGGGATTCAGAAATCTTATCAAAGAAGTCCTTTGACTAGAGAAGCCTGTTGCTTGCTCTTCACCAGCTCTGGACATGGTGAAGATGGTTCCACACAGAAGGAAAGTGCCCAGAAGAGACCTTGTGCTAACTAAAGAGGGATGAGATTATGAAAAGCACAGTGCCTGTGGCTCAGTATTCCTACAAATACATACTTTAAATTGGCGCTATTTCTTTAAGAGACCAACCTCCATCCTCTTAATTCCTCCAACCCCTCGACCCCCATAATAGGAAGCGTCCACAGTCGGCCATTTCTTATTGGGCAAAGGTTCTTCCTCTTCCTCCTATGGAGATACAATTTTTTAAAATGAATTTAATTAATTAATTTCTTAAAATATGGTTTAGTCAGAGGCAGATCACATTGAGATGCTCTAAATAATTCCATTGTTGTGGGAAAATAGAAAAAGTACACCTGGGAGTGCATTTATGATCATACACATCAATTTCAAGTGCAGTTCTACAGGGTATGAAGGCTCCTTCCCTTCATCAAATTCTCCCTACATCGCCTCTTGGATAACAGCAGTTGCCTTTTAAACTATGAGTATTGTGTATTTAAAGCAGGCACATTCATCAGTTCAACTTGAAAAGATTATTCACCTTAGGGCAACACCTCAACAATGATTTCGTGTGTCTGTATACATGGAACTTTGAAGTGTGAAATCTATAGTGAGAAGAGAAACATTAAATAAGCCCTGAAAATGCACAATACCAGCACATTTCTTACTTTACTTTGCTCACATGATGTTAACGAACAGAATAATATAAATAGCAATTATCACTTTGAAGAAAGCAATGGCATCTTTGAACTGCCAGCTTGGATATTTCAACAATTTTAGGTAAGTGTCATCAGAACTATTAATATACCATTACAAAAACAAAAATATATTTAATCTCTATGTACTTTTGATCCTGTAGCCAGCCTGTCTATATCTGCTGATGAAGGGCCCACTTTTCTAGTCTGCTTAAGAAATCATAAGATTAAAAAGTAGCAGTTGGCTTTCACAAAGTAAAAAGCAGATACTTTGCTATCATATGAATGGAATTGGCCTAATTTTGGAATGATATTTATATTTGAAAATAGAACAACTCCATGTCATTTTTCTAGGCACTCACCTCCTTTGGTGGAGCAGATGGTGGGGGAGGATCCTTGATAACCTGTCCCAAAATAAAGCAAAACACAATGTAGAGAGTTCCATAACACAAGAAACAGTGAGAATTTACAAAAACAGTGGCTACTGTGGTAGCTCCAGAGATGGGAGTTAAGATTTACAACAAAAATGTAGTTGAGTGAGGCTGACCTAAGGCTATGAAGTATATATTTCCTTTATTAAGAAGGCAGTACTTCGTGGTTTTATCACCCTGTACATCCAGTGAAAACCACTGCCCTTATTTCACTCAGTAAGATCAAAACCAACCCACCCCATCTCCCCAATGTTCTTTAAGTAGTTCATCTCTTAATTTTTCATCTCTTTATTTTTTCCTAAATAACTTCTACAAATCCTTTCTAGATCCAACAGATTCCTAGAAAATTTTTCTACCCTCTCCCCCCAAGAATTTCTGTCTTCTCAAAGCAGATTATAATGTCTCTAATACTCACAGAGGACTCTCTCTTCTTCCCCACAATTTATTAGAGTTCTTGGTTCTATCTAGCTTAAAAGAAAGTTTCCTTTCAAGTTTCACACATGCCTTTTCTTCCCTCTGTGTTCCCACTATTTATCAGAGTGGAATTGGAACAAAATATGCCTTCAAGGATTTAAGACAGAAAGGAAAGGGAGAAGTCAGGAGGCGAAAAAAAGTGAAAGGGGTGAGAAGAGGAAAGGGGAGACGAGGAAGGAAAACAGGAAGGAGGGAGGAAAATAGAGAGAAAGGAAAGGAGAGAGACACTACAGAAAGAGGAAAGATTGAAAAAAAATAAGAAAAGATTATTTTTATTCCATTCTCACTGCCACAACCCAAAATCAAGGACTTAAATAAGAATTCTATGAACTTGAAAGATGTCAAGCACATTTTTCAACTCATGCAAGGTGCACACAACTAAAACTTTAATATTACTGTAAAAAAAATCTCTACCTAGTAGTGATTCCAATTATGTTTGGACTGCTGCAATAGACAAATTCCCTACTTCAAAAAGCATCATTCGATTAGCAAGGAACTCATCATTTGAAAGTTTTTTCCCTAAATAAAGCCAAAGCTTTCTCTCTCTAACAGTTTCCATTCTTCAGCCCGGGTCCTGGAGTCTGGAAAACGTACACACATGGAGAGAAATTCCTGGGTTTGGAGACTAAAATAATGACTGCATTTCTATTAAGTTTATATCTGGGAGCTAAAGCCATGACCCATTTTTAATAAAATGGTTATAAGTTACCTGGGTTGTTTTGTTCATTTTCTTTAGTCTATATTCATTAGTCAATGCCCTAACTACAATTTCCTTAACCCAAAATAATATTTTTCAATATGCCTCAGTGATTATACTCAATGGTATTTGGACAAAGCAATTAGGACCTCATGATTCTTTGCCTCTTCTCAGCATTTTAAAAAATAATACATGAGTTGGTAGAGAAAGTGGTGAAAGGAAATATTGGTGGGAGTGGTGGTAGATTTGATCAGAACATATTATATGCATGTATGAAATTCTCAAATGATTAAAACATAAACAGAAATTATTAATAGTAATATGCATGCTATTGATAGTCTATTGTTACATTTTTCACCAGTAGTTACATGTAATCCTTGAAGAAAAAATTTAAAAACTAGTTTCTTTCAGTATCTTTAACAAGTCCTCATTTTAACTTGTGTAACTGGGCCAATATTCGTCTAATAGAAGCTTAATCAATTATTTTCCCAGTCAAAATGGTTTCAAAGTTCCAATGCACACAGTTCAAATCAAGAAAGTATTGAATTTTATGGAGAGGCGTTGAAATTTGCATCTCTCTTGTTTTTCAAATGTTCTCTGGAATTCTCTCACCAGAGAAAGATCAAAATATACCCTTTTCTTCCACCAAGCCTGAACATATCTAAGATCACTTTAATTTCACAGCAAAGATTTTTAATTTACTCTTATACCATGTATCTCTTGCACAGATAAATAAAAAAGTAATATAAGTAGTACCGCTGGCATTCTGCTCTAGCACGCCATCCTGGGTATTACTGCGCAAGCCCATCAAGCCCTTTTTGTTTCATACTGACCATCTCTGTGAGCTCAATAGAGAAAAACTGAGTTTCCAATTAAGATCTTTCTGTGAGTCTGCAGAAATTGGCTCGGGAGTTAAGAGCATTTACTGTTCTTGCAGAAATCCCAGATTCATTTGCCAGAACTCACATGGTGGCTTACAACCACCCATAGCTCCATTTCCAGGGGAACCAATGCCCTCTTCTGACTTTTTGGACTCCTGTATGTATGTGATACACATACATATATCAGCACACACACAGAAATAAATTTATATGTAAAAATCTTTATATATTCACTTCTATCAAACTCACACAGGACAGGAGGCACCTTTGCATGTTTTCACTGTATTGGAAAGCCTTTACTTGGCATAATCCATACTATGGAGATAGAAAGCCTCTTTGGTCACAACTAAATGACCCAGCTGTTCTGGTGTCATTGTTCTGATGTCTCAATGTGTTAGGTCATCAGTTCCCACACACCTCCGCCCCAACATTCTCTTCACAGCATTTTACTCCAACCACATTCATAATCCCCCTACTTCCTTCAAATATTTGTGTCATTAGTGTTTTAGGTCATGATCAAGTTCCAAGTTTGTAAGTGAAATATTGATAAAAATATGAAAATGATACGGAAAGAGTTCCATGAAAGTAAAAATATTGCTAATTTCAATGAAAATAGTCATCATTTTTCTCTGTCAACCAGTGAAGCTAGAGAACTAGTAAATTACAGTCATTAAGGGCACATAATAAGATAATTGCAATTTTCTACATCCTGGAAAGAGATTAAAATTAGATCCTCTCCAATTTTAAAAAACCTAATAAGATAAAAATAATATGTACATCACAATCTTTCTGATAGGTCTCTTGTTTCTATGACTTCCCACAGCTACATATGGACATATGTGCAGGTGCCTTGTATTCATCTCATTCCAGAAAAGACTCTTTTAGAGGTTATTTCTTTAACTAATATAAAAATAACCCATAATAAGCTTAAAGAGATTTTGAAGTCTGGAAGTATGCAAGGCTAATCATGAAAATAAATCTTTATATTCTACCTCAATCAAGTCTCAGTCTACTGAGTAAAGAGACACATCCTCTATCACAACAAATGACAGAAACCTTCAGGACAGGAGCCAGATGCCCCAGAACCCAGTTTGGACTGTGTTCTTCTTCCTAACAGTTACTATGCTTCTTCAATTGTGTTGTCACAGGGTAGACACTCCTTTTCATTTTCATGAACCTGTAAGGTTACTACGCTGATGCCCATTTTAAGCACAGCAAAAAGAAAGCTCTAATTCCAGCACCCCCTACCAAATGCATACAAAGAGAAAGACAGAACTAAAATACAAATCCATCTACTGTTTGATTGTATTTCCTGTATTTTGGGGCTTGCTGAGACTGAAGCATCAACCAAGGACCATACATGAACTGGACCTAGGCCCCCTGCAAAGAGGTAGCAGAAAAGCGACTGAGGCTCCACGTGCACCCTCTCTTAAAAGAAGCATGGTCCGCATCGGACATGGTCTCACTTGTCAGCTTTTCTATCACTTCCTCCTGGCGGGGCTACCTTATAGGGCCACAGGGGAAGAGGACATGCTCAGTCCTGATGCAACTTGATGAGCTGGGGTGGATGGGAAAGGGAGCTTCTCTTCTTTGAGGAAAAGTGCATGCTGGAGGGAGGGAGGGAAAAGATGGGAGGGGAGGAGAGATAGGACTACAACAAGGATGTAAAGTGAATAAAAAGGGAAATAAAATGTATATATTAATATATAATAAATAAATAAAATTCAAACCCATCACTTAAAACAATCTACCTCCAAACTCCGAGTTTAATTCCACTACATGAGATACTTTCAATGTGAAGGTTGGACGACAAAGGGAAAGTCTGTGGAAGATGAGTTGTTTGCCAAGCAGTTATTATTGGGATGGGTGGATGAATGGAATCATAAATGATAGAAAATTATAGCTATACCAAGTGTATGCTCACGATGATGTTTACTCCTTTTCAGAGAAGCAAATGGACCAGCATCACTCACTCAGAAATTTCAGGACAGGAAATAAGCTAGTTTTCTTATTACATTTAAAAATATTCCCCTATAACAGTAGCCCTTCACAGATGTCCTCTGAAAGATTCTACCCACCAGGGTATCGAGATGATACTGAGACTCACAGCCAAACTTTGGGCAGAGTGCCAGAATCCTTATGGAAGAAGAAGAAGATAAAAAGACCTGGAGGGGACAGGAGCTCCATAAGGAGAACAACAGAGCCAAAAAAGACCCAGGAACTCCTGCAGAGACCTATACTCCAACCAAGGATCATGCATGGAGAGGACCAAGACACTCTGCTCAGAGGAAGCACACAGGCTGCTCAGTTTCCAAGCGGGTTCCCTAGTAAGGGGATCAGGGGCCGTCTCTGACATGAACTCAGTGTCTGGCTCTTTGATCACGTCCTCCTGGGGTGAGGGAGTTCAGCCCTTGCCAGACCACAAAGGAAGATGATGAAGCCAGCCTTGATGACCTCCCCTATCAGTGACCTAGGGAAAGGGAATAGGGAGAGAAGAGGGAGAGTGGGTGGGACTGGGAGGAGATGAGGGAGGGGGCTACAGTGGGGATACAAAGTGAAGGAATTGTAATAAATAAAAATATAAGTAAAATAAAATTATATATATATATATATTCCTCTACATACTACCATGTGGCCTCATAAGCAATAAAAGGGAAAGAAAATAATGTGACACCCCTTGTCCCTAAAGCCAAAAAAAAAAAAAAAAATGCAGTCTATATAGAATCAGTAAGGCTGTATGCCAGTAAAATTAGATTGGGGGGTGAAGGGAGAAAGAAAAACTTAGTGTTGTCCTAATGCATTAGAAACAACAGTCATGAGAATCTCATCCTTACATTAAATGTATTCATGTGCACCATATTTCCTGAGAATTTGCAGGTTTTAAAAGGCATAATATTGCCTAGTTGCCAGGATTTTTTTTC